TAGCACGACTACGGAGACTGGGGGGCAAGACGCTGGGGTCTTGGGACTGATTTATCAATTTCAACAGGCACACCGCACAGATCGCCAAAGTGGAGCACTTTAAGGTGCAGCGAGGATAGACTACTGCCCGAAGAAAGGATATCAGGTTGGTGGCGTTCTGGTGTACAAGATTGTGTGAGGTGCATGGATTGCATGGTCACGATGTCTTAAAGAGTGCCGGGAAAGAATGCTGCTGCAACAGGACCCTGTGGACATTCAGGTAGAAAATACTGGACGTAAATTGATATTCTTATGAAGCCTAAAGGTATTGGCGGAATCAGTATGGCCGGGGAGTGTTCTGTGAGAGGCGAGATTTCAGAGCTTGGAGATCTGATCAGTGTGACCGTAGTTGAGTTGCCAAATGATGGCGTCGGAACTCGGCGGACAAGGACGGCGGAGGTGTTATTTGGAGACGACGTCGGGCTGGCGAGGGGACGTCGTAACTCCGAAGAACCCGACGTCGAAATCGGCGTGTGCGGCGATCGCTAAGACACGGCGAGATGAATGACAAGAGAGGCCACGCACAGGCAGAACGATGCGGCGGTCACGCGTTGGATTTACCAGCAAACATAAGTATTTAGCGGGCCAGGGTTTTTTGGGAAGCTCTTGAACGCCCTGTAGCGGTCAGCTCTAGGACTATTGTCGTACCTTTCGCTAAGTTGCCAAAGTGTTGGTATTACCAGCTGGCCTATGTAGTCAGTTGACAGAAACCAGCGCCAGTAGCATGCCGAAGCAACAGGCGATGGTAGATGGATGGAATAAAATAACGAAAGACGAGGTACTGAATCCGACGTCGAGTATGCATATTAAAGTCCAGCCATCCGGTCTACTCAGTACTACACTTACTGGCAGCACTAGATTTTAAAAAGGGGAAAAGTGTGTGATATGGGAACCGTGAGGGCCTAGGAAAGTTTCTGAGAGTTTTACTACGGCACCTGTGTAGAGGGTACGTACCAATGGAGGGGCCCCGGACGGCTTCTAGATGCCGGGGTCATCTTTTCTACCTATCTACCTTTATCAGATGGTTTAGATAAAATAAAATATAAACCGAGATGGATGGTAGACACCTCGGGCGTTAAGTTGAACAGGGCACCTCGCACAATCGATGACGGGTCGTCTGTTGCTCCGAGGCTGTCGTGGTGCCACTAAGGTGCTCTGCCTACCTAAGGTAGCCACTCGCTGCGGAGCGCTTAGTGGGGGAGGGGAGCTGGACCGATGAAAGGCACTGGGGAGGGGCCTCACCCGCTTGCTAATACCATTTGAGCTTTCCATGCAATGGAGGCCCATCCCATTCATTCCAGCTTGGACGTGCCGCAGCTGAGGTCCCTGAAGTACTCCCTCAAACTCACTTAACTCAGGTTACAACTTTCACCCGAGCTGAAAGGCACTGGCGTCCCCAATTGAGTTCCAATACACACGACGCGAAGTGCGTACACATTGCATTTAAAGTAGCCATGACGGACTCAAACCATACAGTTGGTGCATTATGATGTTGTTTACGAAGCGTACTGCGCTTTCGAAGGGGAAAGTCCACCTTAGGGAACAAGCCGGGGTTATCGAGCTAGGTAAGGTACCTGTGTAAGGATAAATGAGGTGAAGAAAGCCGGCCTTTGTCTCCGAGGCCGCAGACAACCCCGACGTTCGCTCGACACCGTCGACACCGGACGAAGTGGGATACAAAATTTTCGGTCCTTCGGACCATGTGGCCAAACCTTCGTCCGGCAGTATATCCTTCAGGACTCGCGCCCATTACTAAATGTACATATCAATACAGCGTACAGTGATACCCTGGGGAGGCAGAGGTGATGGAGGGTAAAAGCGTAAGAGGGAGAAAGCATCAGGCCTAACCAGGTGACCCGAGGTAGGTGTATTACACCTAAGTTTGTTTCCACCTACTGGGATCAAAAGTCCGAAGCTAAGGTATCTTAACACATCAAAGTACTAAGCGAGATATATTTGCCTGTCTTCGCCTACAGGTACATGGTCTCTGCTAGTGTCCTTTTTTTCTTCTTTTTTTTACTTCTTTTTTTCGCCCTTCTCCCCAAACCACTCTGCCCTCTTGCCCCGTCTCCAATCCCGTCAACCTTGACTCGCCTGCAACCTTGACTTTGTTCTTGCGTCCTCGCTGACCGTGCATCGCAATTTGCAACTACTGCGCCGCTCGCCGATGAGCTATCTTCAGTGATCACTTCGAGTTTACATGCGATTTCTCCCGCGCCGAACCCCATTCGCTCCCCTCCGGCCGACCCGGCATCTGTCTTGTCGCACCTACGCGCAAACCCTTCAGTCCTCCAGGCCAAAAAAAGGACACCGAGACAATCGACAACACGATCCTTGAGTACGGCTCAACGAGAGCTCAATCCGCCGCAATCGCTGGCGCTCACGGCAATTCTGTCGCCTCCCCCGCAAGCTGTCAATCTGGCGGCTCTTCAGCCTAAGCCTTTCGGCGAAGCATCTGACGCTGCGGCCGCAATGGCCCAGCCCAATGCAGAGCCCGTCGAGGAATATGAGTGCGCACTCCTCTCGCCCATCTACCCACATCCGCCCGGCCCGTTCTCAATGCATCTTTGTGGCAGCAATTATGATTGCTGACTGGGAATATTCCATAGCTACGAATCGCTCCCTCCCAACTTCTCCCTGGTCCAAAATATGGCGGCCGGGGCGTTCGCGGGCATAGCTGTACGTTTTGTCCCATCTTATGGAGCTTGGCTTTGGCCGGATGGATTGCTTAAAGGTTCGAAGCTGATTCTCAATACACGCAGGAGCATACCGTCATGTATCCCATCGATGCCATTAAGGTACGGTTGGCAGCGCTTTCCTTTGCGTACGTATCCTCGCCGTCTGCTAATACGGAGTTTCCAGACCCGAATGCAAGTCCTCAACCCTAACCCCTCAGCTGTCTACAACGGCGTGATCCAAGGTACATACCGCATAGCCAGCCGAGAGGGAGTCCTCAGCTTGTGGAGAGGCATGTCCAGTGTTGTCGCTGGAGCTGGTGAGTGCCCTGCCCCAGCTGGCCTCAAACCTTGAAGTTCCCGTACTAATTGCATCAGGCCCTGCCCATGCTGTTTACTTTGCTACGTACGAGGCCGTCAAGCATGTTATGGGAGGCAACCAGGCGGGTGTTCACCATCCCCTCGCTGCTGGTGAGTTGTTTTGCGCAGGCCGAGCGAACTATATGGCTAACACAGCGTGATAGCTACTAGTGGAGCTTGTGCTACCATCGCAAGCGATGCGCTTATGAACCCCTTCGATGGTAAGTAGCTTGCGAAGCACCTGCCCTTAGGAACGCGGACAACTTACTCGCGCCTCCAGTCATCAAACAGCGAATGCAAATCCAGGACTCTGCCAAAATGTACCGCTCCATGACGGACTGTGCTAAGTACGTCTACAAGACCGAGGGACTGGCAGCTTTCTACGTTTCCTACCCTACCACCCTCTCGATGACGGTTCCCTTCACTGCTCTGCAGTTCCTCGCCTATGAGTCTATTTCAACGGCGATGAACCCGAGCAAGAAGTACGACCCGACAACGCATTGTCTGGCTGGCGCTGTCGCTGGAGGTTTTGCCGCCGCCTTAACCACGCCCATGGATGTGATCAAGACTATGTTGCAGACACGAGGAACTGCGACCGACCCGGCGCTGAGAAACGTCAACGGCTTCATGGCCGGGTGCCGGTTACTTTACGAGCGAGAGGGCTTTCGGGGATTCTTCAAGGGTGTGCGCCCCCGTGTAGTGACGACCATGCCCAGCACGGCTATTTGCTGGTCTGCTTATGAGGCTTCCAAGTAGGTTCATCCTCTTTGATTGGACAGACGTATGGAAGTGATGGCGGGAACTAACGATCTTCTCTCATAGGGCTTACTTCATCGCAAGGAACGATCTTTCACCTTGAAGCGGTTTGCTGCTTTGCACATAGAGAGGGGTTGTTGGCGAATTTTGTGACCGTTTAGAGCGGTAGTGTAAAATCTTAGACGGCGGAGCAAGGAAGGGTCGATTCCCACACCCGAGCAATAATTGGCCTGGTGCCGGGAATTACAGCAACGGAACGCTGGAGGAGCACAGTGTACCACTCCTAGCGAGAGCTTCTACCCCAAAGAAGGAAATCAACACCTCCTTGTGTTGTAACATGGACGCTGATAGTCGGTCAACTCGCAAGCGGGCTGTATATGTTGCTGGAGAGCCGTTTTGGCAAAGTGCTATATTTTCAAAAGATATTCAACATGCTGGCGTCGGAAAATGACACTCGTCGGGAGGTGGTATGCTCGGGGATGGATTTGCAGACGTTAATCTGGAATATCATCTCTTACTCCTCCAAATTGGCTTTGCCCACTGATCGAGACTGTCACAACTGGCCCTCGCAATCCAGTTGACTCTGCGACGAGCACTTGCTGGGCTTGTTCGGGCAACCTTTGGCCGCAATACATCTCACTCATTGTGCTCCGTCGTTGATCTGTCGACCTGCCCTTCGCCAGGGGGAAGGGGTTGTAGATGTGATCAACCTCACCTATCACTCGACGCCAACTATCTGGCCTGCTTTGGACATGGCTTTGGTAAGCGGAGCCGCATGAAGACTGCTATATGACACATGGACGGAATGGATGTCGAAGCACTGTCAATGACCCCGTAATGTATTGCGACTTGACACGAGCCAAGCCCCGCTCGCAGGAACCATGAGGATAGATACGTCACTCGTAGACAGACTTATGGACAAGCAGCGAGCTAACTGCGGACATTGGAGTATCACGCGAGCCGATTTTGCGAAGAAACTCATGTTCTACATTCCGCTGGCACAATAATCTTGGGGATGAAAGTAAGTGACCAAGACTGGTCGAGTTACTTTACCAACTTCTTGCTGGCAATACCAAGAAGTGACGTGTAATATATGCCACTGATGAACTAGGCCCATGAACTCCAGGCTGAAGTTATTACCGGTAACTCCTTCATACTGCCGAGCTCCCTCTAGAATGGGAACCCGCCACCACCGCCACCAAACTTGAAATGGAATTGCTGACTTCCACCTCCCCCACCCTGCTGGAACATGAATGGATGGCCTCCGCCAAAGGGATTTCCTTGGAAAGGGCTGCCTTGCTGTTGATTATTGGGATCGTCGCCGCGATCGAAGCGCTCGCGAAGCTCCGGGTTGCTTAGAATCTCGTACGCCTCGTTGATGGCCGCCATCTTCTTCTCGGCTTCCTCTTTGGTGAGACCCTGCTTGGCAGCCTTATCCGGGTGGTGCAGCTTTGACAGCTTGCGATAAGCCTGCTTGATTTGACGCTCATCAACATCATGGGATACACCTAGAACCTTATAATAATCCTTGGTCTGACTGCGTTTCAGCGCGATCTGGGCCTTCTGCATTAGAGGCTGGGTGACGTCGTTCTTGTCAGGTCTAGCATTGCTGGCCTCCTCCAAAGACCTAATGGCAGCCTCGAATTCCTCCTTGTCCATCAATACTTTAGCCTTGAATAGGAGGCCGTAAAACGATCGAGGGTCGAGCGCGAGCGCATCATCGCAGTGCTGTTTAGCTTTCTTGCCATTCATCTGCAATGACTGTTAACCCTGCCCAGAGAAAGCCCTACGCCTTCGACTACTTACGTCGTAATAGCCCTGGCATGCCATTTCCACCACGCGGATGTACAGAGCTGAGGTGGCAGTGGCGGGAATGGTGCCATCTGCACGAAGCTCTTCAACATGGGTCTTGATGTCGGTGATCAGACCTGTCTCATCGGCCGAGTCGATCAACAACTTGACTCCGGTCATAGGTTGATTCTTGTCGAATGCCTTCGTTACCCTGGCCAAAGTCTTGTCGATGGCCTTTTGCTGCTTCAGGAGCTTTTTGCATGGCTTGGAGTCTGGGTCGGAGTGTAGACACTTCCTGATCTGGGTCAAGCCGTTCTGGAGGTCGCCTAGTCCGTAGAAGGTGATGGCGGAGATCTTAATATGTGGTGAAGTGTCTCCAGGCCGCATCTGCAGGACGTGGTGCAGATCACTCATGCCTTCTTCAACCTCACCGCGCTGGAAACGACAGCGAGATCTCATCTCGCGGAGCGAGATAGCCCGGTTCGCGGTAAGGATGGCCTCGCCTGCATGAGTGACGCATGCCTCCCAATCACCATTTTTCTCTGCTATCTCGGCGAGGTGAGCTGCGCCCTTGGCCTCGTCGAGGGCGACGAGCTCGGGTGAGGTGGCGCCCTTGTTTGCCAGAGTATACTGTTCCCTTGCGCCTTCCCAGTCGGCAACCTTAGACTTGATCTTGGCCAATTGAACGTGAGCGCCCTCAAAGCCGGGCTTTATTGCCAAGACCTTGTTGAAATCGTCGGTCGCCTGGTTGGTTCGTCCGAGGGAGAGGTAGGTCGTGGCGCGCTTGAAGAGGGTCAGATAGTTGGAGGGATCCCGAGCGATAGCGGCATCATAGTAAACGAGGGCGTCGCTCGTCTGCCCCTTGGAGAGATGGGCTTGGGCGGAGGACAGCAAAGACGAAACTGGGGTATCTGAAGGGATTTCGTCGGCTGAAATTGCGAGAGCTGGCGAAGAGAGTAGTGTCGTGGCTGCGAAAGCCAGAGCGCATAGGCGAACGTGCATGTGCATGGCTGTCGCTCACGCCGGGCGGCCGGGACGAGCACCCAAAGGCAGCCGCGAATCCTCGAGGAGACAGGTAGAGAAAAGAGATGTTGCGGAAAGGAGAGACGCGTGGAAATGGTCGAGAGGAGACAATAAGCTAGAAAAAGGAATGGAGGGGGGACGATGAGTGATGTGGTCGAAGTGGCCGAATTAGAAAAGTTGTCCTCAAAGACCGCCACGATCTGATGGACGGTACAAATGATAATGCTGGAGATGGGGTGTGGGGCAGGTAGTCCTTAACGCTTCTCACCTGGCTGTCGCACAGCCTCCCCTGGCATCTTCAGGAAACTATACGTACACGTACTGCGTACGTGGGTAATTTGGTACGGCGCAAGTGTTCCGATTATGCCCATTTAACCTAATGTTACCTTACTTCTTCCGTCAATAGCAATGCGGCTTGCCGGCTGCAGCCACTGAAGTGTCCAGAGCAGATCTGCCCCACTTTGACGCGTTCTGTACGTACACACAGGTACACTTAGGTAGCTACTGTAGCTACCTCTAATTAGGCTACGTACCTGGGAAGCCTCCAGAATCCATGTCAGGTAGCGGCTACCTTAACGCTGATCGGCACGCAAGCCACTTTTTGAACAAATCACGGCACCTGGTATTGTCACCGGCTTTGCCAGACCCAGAGAAACTCTGTACCTTCCCGGTCTGGCCTTCCTTTGCAGGATAGAAATCAACAATAACAAAAATCACGGCCTTTCGCCGCTGTCTCCAACTATCAGCCTACTACCTCCGTCAGCATGTCTCACCTCCCACCGTCGACCGCCATCTTTTCTCCCTCAATAGCACGCATCGCTGCCTCTACTGCCAAGGACTGGAACTATGTTGACTGTTGGCTTACCGCCAAATTCCACGGCCGAGCAGTCCCGCCTTTCGAGCGGAATCCAGAAACCCTCAAAGCCCTCCTCGCCCTAGCTTCGCTGAATGAGACTGCAGATGAGGAACGTGAACTCGTCTCTAGGGCCGAGGCTGCCGCTCTGCATCAAATCAGCGAAGCTTGCCATGAACCCGAAGCGCGCCTCTCTGAATTGCCCCTAACGGCCACCGTCCGCGAGAGGATTCTGACTGCCGTTCAGGATCACCTCACCCGAGAGGGTAGTACTGCCCTCAACTCTATGGCGACACTTTCATGCCAGCTTTCCGTGGCGTACCCGGACGCCGAAACCCTCGGCTGGTCCATGATAAATCTCCATGCCCGAGCGTCCGAACTCGAGCAAATGAGGGTTCGTGTGCACATACTACTGAAGTACATTGAGCAAGAGTCTACTACTGCAGATGAGCTTCTGCAAACGCTGCGCAGCGACGACTACAAACCCACCAACGACCTTGCCCGCCAGAATTTGGACATGCAAAGAAGAATCAAGGCCATGGCTGCTCGTTTGCCCGAGCTGAAGGACCGAATTTCAAGTGCGAACCGGTCCATGCATCTTCTTCCAACTACACACCAGTCGCACATCTCTGACCAACCCGCCATTGAGCAAATCATACAGGAAGAAAGCAAGTATCTTGAGCTCCTGGCCCAGAAGAGAGGATTGGACGCCCACGTTACCCAATTTTCGAGCCTTCCAGACGACGTCCAGAGGGCTCGGCTTCAGCTTGAAAATCTTCGCACCGATCTCCGTGCCATTATCCGGCGCCGAGACACCATTTTCGAGGGCTTGGTCGAACGCGAGAGTCCCCGCAAGGACCGATGATGAACACTTTCTACTGTAGCTTAGCATACATCACACGCTGCAGCTTGCATCACTAGGGTATTAGAATTACTACGCGCTAAAGACAAAACTCGCTTGTCAAAGACAACAACATCAACCAGCTCGTTTACCCCTAACTGCACCGCCCAAGTTCCTTATTCCCCGCATCCCCAGACCAGCTCGCTTAACAGGTGGCGCGGCCGGAGGTGCAGGGTCCTTCACTGGAACCGGTGGTCCACTTGGGTTACGTGCCTCCTTGCCCCCCTTGATGTCCGCTCCTTCTCCCAAGCGCAAGTCTGTCAAACCAAGACTGCCTCGACTATCGTCAACGTCCCCGGAGTGTCTCTGAGCCCGTCGGGCCCGCTCCTGAACACTGCGGAATTTCTCAAGCAGCTCATTCCAACGGATGATGCCGTCCTCTCGGCCTTTCAACCTGTTTGGTCTGTCATAGCTCGAGCTAGTGGCGGGGCTGGGATTTCTGTAGGCCTGCGGTTAGCTGCAGTCCACTACTTTTTACAAGCCGGACAAAGCCGACAAGTGGTTATGGGTTGGTGATGAGGGGAACTGCCATGAATACTCACACTTTGGGTGCAATATGAAGGTAGCCGATCGAGCTGACACTGTTGAGACGGTTCTTCAAGGCGGCGAAGGCGGAGGATTGTGGGAGGAGCATCAGAAGTCCATACAGGCATTTGTACAAATGGGGATACTTTTCCGGCTCCAGCAGCTGCAATCGAAGATCTTGACATCGTCAGCCGCGAGACATATCAATACGGGCGAGCGGCCACTTACAGGTGAACACAGGAGACTCTATCAACTGCACCAGCTTATCGATCTGGATCAGAATGTTCACTGTCATTTCCAACTCGGCGCTGATATAGTTAGTGAGACATCCCATGGGTACTCACATCTAGGGTACGGAGCTTACAAGATCTGAAGGAGATTGTACGCTTGTTCGTAGGCTTGGGCCAAGAGGCACAAAGAGAAAGTGGCGACTGCATTGTGACACCATGAACGAAAGAGGGCGACAAAAAAAGTCTGACCATCCTGGTACTGTTGTGTAAGCGCTCTGGAGGGTGAAGCCTCAAGGAGAAGATCTGTTTACCTTGGATTCCAAGTTGCGGAGCCTCTTGCGAAGCTCCGAAAGCTCCGGTGCTGTGATGAGGTTGTTGTTCAGGTTCTGCACCATAATACTGGCAAACTCCACATCTTCCTCTTTTTCTATGCAGTCGGCGAGTGTTCGGTAAATTCTCTCGGCGCTGAGGCTAACACAGAGCTGGCGTATGATCAAGTTTCCGCGAGTCTCAAGCAACTTTCTGTCGGTAGCAAAGAGCTGAAGCAGATTGACCATAAAGTTGGAAAAGTAGTCATCTTCGCTGTTGCGAGATATTTGTGATAACAATTGTAGATCCTTGGTTACTACTGCCTCAGCTGGGTCTGAAAGTGTCTTGAGCAACGCCGGAAAGGTTCCGTCATTGAAGGCGAGCACTTTGCGAGGCGCCTTCCTGTGGAGCATGATCAGCCACGTTAGCGCGGCAACCCGGGTTGCCTCATGATCATTGAGGAATAGCAACGTGAGCGCGTTGACCGCTGCGGCATAATCCAAGTCAACCTGGGGATGAGCGGTCGAAGAAGGTGGGTTTGGTGTTGAGAGGGACCGGTTATGTCCCTGAGCAGGAGTCGGGCTTCTCATTTCCAAATCCCGAGAGCTAGAAAGAGAAGCGCGTGCACTAGACGCTCCATCTTGGCGCTCACTGGAAAGAGGTATGCGAGTGTTAGAGTGGGAAAGCCCCCCGATTCCGGGCTCGTCTGACAGCGAAACAACATAGTCCATTAGGCCGGCGTTGACACGGGCGGCAGCCTGGCGAATGGATTCGACGCCGCTGGCCATAGCAGGAAGCATATGCGCCAGGACTTTGGGGGTGAACGGCAACACCTCTTCAGGGCAAATGTCCAAAAACTCGACAATCCAGCGCAGAGATTCCAGCAGGGAATCTTCTTCTATTGTATGAATTAGTGTGAGTGAGCGATGTTTCAAGGGGCGAGGAGGTAAACAAACCAAGGGGTGAGTCGAGCGTAGCTGTAAGGATCTCAAGAATCTTTCGGTAGTTGATTTGGACATCTTGACCTGGTATCCAGTCCTCCTCGCCACTACCCTCATCATCGCTGTGTGAAGTGATTTCATCGCCGTCTTCGGGCTCAATTTGAACACTTCCTGAATCGACAGACTCCTCACGTTTGCGTTTCCCGCCCTCTCGAGACTTTTTGCTCTCTGCAATGCCCTTCTTAACTCTCGAGATCCGTTTGATCTCGCTGAGAAACTTATCTAGGCAAGACTGGGTGGCAACGTGAACGTCTCGATTGGGATCACTCAAGAACTTGAGCAAACCGCCTAAGAAGTCAGGTAGGAATGTTACCAGCTCGAGATCGGGGATAGAATCGAGCAGTGTAATCCAGCCAACAAGGAATTGGCGAGTGAAGGGATTGATAACCCAGACACGTTCTTGGAGAAGAGGTATGAAGCGGCGTAAGGAGAAGGCGGTCGGCGGAGGAGGGCGATCCTCAGCGTCTGCTTTGTCGGTGAATTCCTGGCCCAACTCTCCTTCCAAGACGGATACGTAGGATGCAGCTGACTCGGAGACAATGTCCTTAATGAGTCTGTCGAGCAGTTCAGCGCCGTTCTTGACGGATAACTCTGAGTCTGCTCCAAGCTAAGAACCACGAAACTCATGTCAGATTGCAAGCTCACGACAAAAGAATACCAGCCCAATGGTGGTGCGGCAAGGTATGAGCTAGGCGGGGGCATTACCTTGCAGAGAGCGTCGAATATGTCATTAAAGTATATCAAGATCTCCCCTTTGGCCACCTTGGCAATGTTGTACATGGCCTCGCAGGCGTAGTACCTCACCCTGGCATCTTGGTCCGTAAAGCATGCCAAGACTGGGGGCACTATCTTTTCCAAATAACGTGGCAGTTCCTAGACATGGTTAGTTGAACATGTATCGCGACTAGGAACTAAGAGTCCAGGTAGGGAGGAGAGAGTCCTACAGGACCAAGTGCGATGGCAGCGGCAGCCAGGCCGATTAGACCTCCATTTCTGGCATGGGGCTGGTGAACAGCGTAAGCAAACTCATTGCATAGCTGCTCGAGGATGGCTTGCACTCTCGAATAGTCTCTGGTGACGACCAACTCGCGGATGACGCGCTCGAGTCTAAACAGAGTGGGATGTCAGCTAACAGGGGGGGAAGGGGGTCATGGAAGATGGCGACAAGGAGAAGATAGAGGCCAGGTCCCGTTCAGGGGAGGGGTTGCATACTCAAGTGCTCCAACTTTCCGTTTGTCGTAAAGTTTGTCGTTCAGAGCTCGCTGTATACCAACATCCATGATTACTGGTGCGGGGAAGAGATACGGATACGGTGAGAGACTACAGTAGTGACATGTCCTAGGACTGCAAAGTTGGATGTGAAAATCGGTCGGGTAGGGCTAGAGCGGTGGATTGGGCTGGCAAACGCAATGCGGTCAGGCTCTGGCCGTGGCTCTGAAGGAGGCCCGGCTCTGGACCGGAGTTGCAGATGGCTTCACACCTGAGTCGCGATTAGACTGGGCGTGGAAAGACCAAAAAAACAAAGCTTGGGCGACGGAGATTAATCGGGGGACCAAGGAGGAGAGAACACAGACTCGAAGGTGAAGATGTGCTGCTCGGCGGGGGTGAGGTAGTAAGTAGGTTGTACCTACCTAGGACGGGTGAGGTGAGGCAGGCTGGCAAGCAGCAAGACGTCAGAAAACAGGCGGGTGCAGGAGCCGGTACAGGGGGTTTGATGCATCCCGTGCGACACCTTACCTTACCTTAGGTACCCGACCTTCCTACGCCGTCGAGGGGACTACAGACGATCGGGCCCGGCTTAATTATTAGCACGTACTGCATACCTTAGTACGCAGTAGGTGCCGGCCCCATTATCTGCATGGTACACTAAGGTAGAAACTCTGTATGCACCAAAGCATCATACGCGCATCTGCAATTGCTTCCCGTCGTCTCCAATCGCAGGCCATGCAGAACCAAAGCTGGCAGCCCTTCCTATTTGCAATATCCGTACGCCTCCTTTACTTTCACCTTTCTTTTTCTCAAAACACAAAGCCTCCACTCCACCCAAACGGTTCTTTTGTCTTTATGGGTCCCAAGTTTCCTCCTTGGTCTCAACGCCCTCCTTCCACAACGCACCCCCTCAGTTGCTGTCAGGATGCTTTCAACTGTCGGCAACGGTCTCTCAATCGCATGAGGAATTCCGCGGCCTTACACCCGTACGCAGCATCCGTCATATCCATGGGGGCTTCTTCGTCTTGCAGTCGGGGACCAGAGCCTTCTCTTCCGGGCTGCAAAACACCCGCGCACCCGCACACCCTCATAAGATGTCTGAATGGTGTCTCCTCATCCCGCCATTCCTAGTATACACTAGGCACCTATCTGGTCCCGGCGCCCTCCAAAGGCCCCGTATGTGATCTTCTTTCTCCAGGCCAATGGCAACGTCTACCATCTGGCGGACCCCGGCATCCCTTTAGTTTATCTTACAGCACTGATCCTGGCTACTAACGTCCGATTTGAACTCCCCGAAATTCCAGCCACTTGGGTCGTCCCAGTCATTTTCGAGCAACCCTGGTTTTGTTCTGATCCATTTTCCCCTGCCCTCTCTTCTCCCCCGAGTCCCGCAAGCCATGACCGAGACCGGTGAACTAACTGTGCGTTTCAGTACTCTCTTTTCTCTTCTCCGCCATACCCCTCGTGGAATGTGCAACTCACCAGAGACACTCGCCGAACCTGCCCTGCCCAGCTTTCTTTTCCCGTATCCTTCATTGAACCCCTCTCTTCTGTTAATCGTCTTCTTGTTCATGGTTCAGCAATTGGTTTACTGCCGAGAGACCTGGACTTGGGACGGGTCGTGCAAACTGCATTCCAATCTATCATTACTGTATCCTGATAGCGTACCTTGCCCTGCCTGCTCTGAAGAGGCCTGGGGTTTTATTTTGTTCTTACCCCTTCCTGTTTACTTCCACTGCCCGAGTAGCCACCCTTCTGCTCTCTACTTGACGCCTCCCTATCTCTATTGGCCTGGGCAGCCATGGTGGCACGCTTAGCGAAGTCGTCCTGTCATGTTCAGCTGTTTGTCTTTGAGGAAGTCCACCTCATGGCACAAAATCCTCGGGGAATTTACTTTGTCACCGCGGGCTTTGCGGATACGCGCAGCCGCAGCGTCGTCCATCTTGCTCTTTCCCATCGTTGAGGGCTTGATAGACGCTCAAGGCAATAGTCCTTCGAAAATTCTGGCTCGTACGCGAAGAATTGAATCAAGCTTGATCTCCGAGCCACCGATCAAGGTGCCCGTCTCGTTTCTCTCTTCGAGGGTATATGTTTGGATTAAGAAACGATTGAAGAAGTACACGGCAAGACTGTGGCTCGTTTGCTTCAGAAACCACAGTCTCGACAGGTCCAATGTTGTTTCGAAGTATAAGAAGAGTAGTTTCTGGAGCTGTGATTCCGTCTTGAACTTGCCCTAGAGGGCTCAGTCCTTTATACTTTTCCAGCGACATATACTAAACTTATTCTCGTGACCAGGCTCTGCTCATGACACACCGGGGAATCTTCATCCTGTACGATTTGTAGCCAACAGCAACGCGCCAACTTGATCTCTCAGAGCAAGAGCAGGCTTGAGTATCCCGGTCCAGATGCACGATACATGTCGGGCAAGTCTTTTTGGGATGGTAGGGGTCTGAGGCAACGGGCTTGGACACGGCGTAGTTCCCGCCAGTTCCAAACCCTGTTCCCCATGTTGTCTCAAGGCGGCCGGTACCCTGGACAGTGACGCCTTCCAATGCTGTCCCTTGTGAGAAGGAAGGTGTTCGGCTGCCAGTGAGGGACAAGGCAGTCGCCCAGAACGCCGATTTCCTACATGGCTCTGACAGTACCTCATAACATGAAAGACATCAGACGTTTGACGGATTCGAGACCGCTCTCAAGTGCCCTCCCTACGGCTGGCTGTTCCGCATCCCTCCGATGAGGTGCATCAACGTAACTGCAGCCAAGAGATCTCGGGGTACACTACTGACGGCGATGACAAGATGGCCAGCTGTAGCCATCGCCCATCACTCGCGGCTCAACCTCCGGTCATTCTCATGGACCCCTGAACGATGGACAAACCGTCGGCTCCTATTCATCCGCCGTCTGCTTCTCTGTGGTATCGTTGTAGGATGGTGGAGAACAGGCCGAGGGCCTAGGCGGGAACCATAATCGACAGCCCTTGTCTCTCTGTCCATACGTCATGTCTCATGCCGGTAGCTCAGCTGTATGGTCCTGGCTATAGGAAACGGTTGTTCTTCAGAGACTGAGGCCTCCTTATGCAGTCTCTCTGACACATTGCTTTTTAGTAGTACCCTTGGATCCCGCCTTCCTCCTTCTCCATTTCACCCTCCCTATGTCCTTTCCTTCAATATTAAAAGGTACGTGGTGTGGTTCCTGTGCGACCTCTCAAGAGTTCATCGTGCATACATCGCATCGGATCGCACCCGCGGATCGATGACCTGCTTGCGCGCGCGCGCGTTTGTGTGTATGTGTGTGTGTGCGTATGTGTGCGTGGAGGCCAGTATCGCGGATGGCCTTAGAGCCAAACAGGGGTTGGGGAGAGCATTATCGTACTCAGTCTTGCTCGAAACACATTTGATTGGAGCGAGAAAATCGGAATACATGCGTGCGGTCTGTACAAGAGGGTGAGAGGAAAAGTGAGGGACAAAAGTGTGGGTTCATCATGATGCAAAGTTCACTGCCGTAATCTAGCCAAATTGCCATTGGCTACGTAAGACAAGATTGGCGCTTTCACACTGACGATTGCAGCTCGACGAACTTGCTTATTGTCCTAGCGCCAGCGCTCTTCTCGCCCGGGAAAAGAAACGAACAACACGCGCTCCGGTTGAAGATGATGCCCGCTCATGTGGGTGCGGCGGAGGAGAGGGCCGTCTCCGACGGGTGTAGCGAATCGGATCGGAGGATAAATCCCATGCCATGCAACATCGATGCAGTCACACATATCGGATCGATCTCGTTCTAGACATTATAACCGATCTAGCTGGGCGCTACAGGCTCTGCGTACATGCGCCTCTCGTTCTTTTCATATCCCACACCGGTCGTAGCTGCGCTAACCCCAATTGCATGTGCATGTCGGTTGGGGGAGCGAGGGGCCAGAGTCATACGAGAGGGCTGTTAGTGGTGTCCACCGAGGATATCACCATTCTTGACCACAGCCTTTTGACACTTTGCCAATATGGCAGCTTGTTGGGACACCTCGGCCAAGCGACCGATGACATCCTTGTTACCGTCTACGAAGCCGTACAGGGCGTAAGGAATGCCCACGTCGTTGCAGAATTCCTGCACCAATCTCTGCGTCTTGCGCAGGTTGTGGCGCGGAACGCGAGGGTACATGTGATGAACGACCTGGAACTGCAGCCCGCCGTGAAAAAAGTCCAGCCATGACGGGCAATCAACGTCCATGGTCGTCCGCAGCATCTTCTGAGGGAACGACTCGTGGGGGCCCAGATCGGCGGTGCTCATAGCAAAGTGTGATAGCGTGATTTGACAGTGCAGCGGTGACTGCAGGATGTGGCTGACCATCACAAAAACGAATCGGTCCCAGTTGTTAGGGATAGACTTGTACACGACACCGTAGCCGAACCAGGCCCAGAAGAAAACCTGTCCAGCCACCTCAAGCCAGTGATGCCACCAGGCAATGCCTTTCTTGGGGCTGCGCCTGAAAATCAAATGGTCCCAGGAGAGCCTGTAAAGGTTGAAACGGCCGAAGCACATGATCGGGTAATAGAGGTACGACTGCATGGACAGGAAGAATTTGGCCGCGGCGTCGTATGTCATTATGCGCTCGTAGTAAGATGATGTCAAGTTGCCGAGGAAGCGGTGAGACACGGCGAAGAAAGGCATATGTTCAATATCCGGGTCGTGTTCGGGTGAGTTGGTAACGATGTGATGGACATTGTGATTTCGCTTCCACCAGCCAATGGAAAGGCCTCCCATGAAGTCGGCAATGAATATGCCGATACACGTATCAACGTGGAAGTTGTGCGTGATGCCCATGTGACCAGCATCGTGAGCTGAAAATACAAGCTGGTGCCAGAAGCATCCTAGACAGGCCGCGCTCGGGACATACCAGCCCCAACGCAAAAAGGTCAGCATGCCAACGAACAGGAGCGTATAGCGGGTCATTTCGACGGCGTAGGCACGATAGTCACAATCGTAAAGACCCTCGTCCTTGATGCGCTGATCCAGCAGTCTGTACTTGCGCACGATCTCGGTTTGGGTCTCGTCGTCGAGGGGTGGGTATTTGTCAAGATCGAGGTTGATTTTCTTGCGAGTCTCCGAATCTAGAAACGCAGTGCCGTCCATCTCTTCATCGTCGCCGCAGTCCGAAGTTGCTGATGACACAGAGCTCGAGCTCTGAGGTGCACCTCGTCGTTGCCGTACGCTGCTGTCGGTGGTATCGAAGACCGGGGAAGCCTCCCGCGAGCTCACGTCACTGGGAGACGAGGGACCGAAGAAGCGTAACGAGACGTCTTCCTCCGCATCGTCGATGTCTGGGTCGCCTTCCTCCAAAGTTCTGAACTTGCCACCCTGAATGGGAGGAACAAAGTTCCGCCAATGCCCCTCGATCCTGCCAATTCGATACCGGTTCATTTGTGCTTTCGCTTCGGGTGAGTGCAAACTGTTGGAGAGGTACGCGTCAGTTTCACCAGCGTCAAAGGTAAGACCATGCAAGAGACCTCTCCACGGGATGAACATACACTGTGACCTCGTCGGTGGCATCTCGACCGACCATGTGTTGAATGGCCTTGTCACCGCCGGGATGGTAGGCCAACCATCCATCGAGCCGAAGAACAAACTGGTCGACGATTGTGATCGTGCGTCCCTGGGCAATCAGGCCCTCGACCTGGCGTCGAGACATGAACGGACATTCTCTTTCCTTCTTGGGTGTTTCCCGATGGCCCTCACCCATGGCGGCAGCTCCGGCGGCGGCAAAGCCAACCATTGCAATCTTCGAAGATACCGTCGAACCACCAGAGATATGAGTGATGCGTGGAGAGAGGAGGGAATGATGGCGAGCTGCCCGAGCAGAGTTTCGAAACCAATTGAACGAACGTGCACTATTGACAGGACAGGTTGGCAGGGGTAGCTTTTTGTCGTCAAGACGCAGAGGGAGGGTGGTGGGGGGCAGGCCACAATGTGATGTCGTTTCTTCCAAGAAAAACATAAATCAAAGCCGGAAATAAAAGAACACAGGTGAGAACCTAGATCTGGGGAAAGTGGTGGATGGGTGGGATCAAGGCGGTATTTCGTGGCCGCTATTCACCGCATATTGCTGGCTTAGATGCCAGATCCTGGAGATGCGTCGGCGAACCTGGCAGGCCAAATATATGTCGAGGTACCTTGCATAAGATAAGCTTGGAACCTTGAGTGCCAGCGTACAACCAATGGCCACGTGTGGTAGGCCACCTCAATATTTGAACAGAATGGCAGAACGGTTCTCGGAGCTTTCAGCAGCCCGTCGGGCCATCACCACCACACAATGGCGCAAATCATGCGAGGAACAGCTCCGGGCGGGTCCACAGTAGCGTGTTTCCGTCGTTCCATCTACTCTCGATCCGAAATTAAGCCGCGTTGATCAAGAGCGACTGAGGACATTTGCCTCGACATCACTCATCAGATACTTCGGTTGGGATATGGAAATGGAAGCCAATACGAATATAAATGCTAGAGAATTGGTTACTCGCCATCAGCCCAGCAGAACCTCTTCTCGTCGTCCTCGGCTTGCCCGCAGCCAGGGCCAAATGAGTGGCTGCATCGACTTATTTGCTAGAACCAGACAAGACTCCCCCGATTCCCCAGTATTTCTCTGCGTGGAAAGTGCTGGCATCAGAGTGTTTCCACAGGTCGTTGAAGGCCGAGAAGAGAATGACATCCCCTGGGTGGCTTGCGAACGCCTCCTTGATTGAATCAACAGCCAGCCTCTGCTCACTGACGCCAGGTACCGCAGCGCCGTTGCTGTCTCCCTGCCACGGCCAACCTGTCTCTGTGCAGACGATGCGCTTGTTCCGGTCCGAGAGCTTCGCCTGGACCTGGCTTACTATTCTGGTCACAAAAGGCCCAGCATCCTTGGCCGCGGTATTCTTGTCGAAGAAAGGGTGGATGTTCAATGCACAGTAGTCTGACGCGTCGCACAGA